TGCTTGTTAGCTTCTGGTGTAATTGTTAGAGAAAAATTTGGAAGTATATTGTTTAATGTTTTTACATTGAATTGGAACATAAAATCCAACCCCGGATGAAGTCTCTACCGCATTTAATTTCATAAACTTAATTACTTTCTAGAATTTATAATTATCTTATTAAAAATCAATCATTTTCATTATTTTAAACTTTTTAGCTTTGATTATTAAATAGTTATAGTTTTTTTGAAAGTCTTTTTAGAAAACAATATCTGAATTTTTTACTTTATTACGTACATTTGTTAATATAATAACATGTTGCAAGATAATAATTAATAATGCTAGTTGTACCAAAGCGAGTTGATTGTCGACTCGCTTGGTAACGACAGAAGTTACAAACAATAAAGACTAATTAAGAGTCATTAATGGATGGTTAACACACATCTTAACGGCTTGTAATAATCAATTAATAGGTTTGATTACTATAAACTCTATAAATAAATGTTTAATGTCGAGGTACAGACATATTTTGACATTTTCTCATTACAATTTAGACCTTCATGAGAGACATAACTGACTTGAGAGTCAGAGTACTTTTTGTAGGTCAACCCCCAATCAACAGTAGGAAGAGTGAAGGACAAGCAAACGATTGAATGCAGACAGAACTGGAGTAAACGATCGTCCATCGACCCCATACATCGAAACACTAGTAATTAGGAAGAATATTGTTCAACTTAGCTTTATAAAATAATACAATATTGAAAATAATTATATATGATATAACTTACAAAAATATGTAGAATCGTCATTTATGATATAACTCACAAAATATAAAGAATAGTCACCTATGATATAACTCAAAATTAAAAAAAAAAAAACAATATAAGAAAGAAAGCTCTATATTTTTTGAACATTGATTAACCACCAATATGTCACACAAGATATAAACTAATAAGTGTCACTTTAAGATAAAGAAAAGAAGGAGTAATAAGATATGTTATGTTATAATAACCAATAAGTATTTTCGTTCAACAAAATCTTATAAAAATAAGTACATAAGTTCTATTTTATAATGTGACGAGAAGGGATTAAATAAACACTTGATATTATATAAAGAATATTTTACTGTATAACCATACAGTCGTACCATGGGGTCGACCGAATGAAGCCACTGAGAAGGGACGACCGACTAAATAGGTTAAAGTCTACCACCACGCGCCAGACAATCCAGATAAATAGTGTATTAACCGCACGACCATAGAAGATGGGAGACTGAACGGATGACATCCAATAATAATCATCCCTAAACATCATCTTTAATCAAGAGTACTGGTAAGCATTACTTAGTAGGTAATGAGCCATGATTGGGTCAGAATTAGGTTTTCATTAATCTCATTCCCATCTCGAAACCTATAAATAGAGGTCAAAGGTAAGAATGTAGATGATTTTATTTATTACAGATTTAAGATTTTACTGTGACTTCCCGATCGGATTAATCACTGACTTGAGCATCAAAATGTCTTTGACAGGTACACTAGAACAATTTGGAAGACAAGTGGAGAAGGACTTTGAATAAGAACATTTAAAAATACCTAAGTGAATTTGGAATAAAGTTTGAAGGAGTGTTTTGTGGAGATATTTGACTCTACACCCGAAACAAATATATTTAAGTTACTATAAGCAATTCAATTAGAAATATTACATTAAATATAAAATATAAAATATAATGAACATGTATCTTTGACATTTATTTAAGTATTTATTTATGCATGTTAATTATATATTGATTATATTATTTATGGTTATTTAGTAAGTATTAATGTATATGTAATACTTATTAACTTATCTTATTTATTTGTATTTGTTACATAAATATATTATTATGTTTTGACACAACATTACCATCTAATCTTGTCCAAAAATGATAATTCTATTTAAATAACAAATACAATTATTTTATATAACAAATAAAGATAAATAAGATAAGTTAATAAGAATAAATGTAAGAGCTTAGAAAATTGTTTTAAGTTTGGTAGTATGTTTTGAATAATGAGATTTGATTAGTTTAATATTAAATGTTTAAAGTATAAATAGGATTTCTGTAAATGAGTTTTATTGTCCCAAATCACATTTTAAAACTCTTTTCCTCTATAGCTCCCTCACTTCTTTCTAGAGTTTCTAACTTCCTGTTTGGTTGTTTGAGGATCAGAGGCCGCTAGAGTGATCTTTGAGGTGAGCTCTCCACTTCTATCCAATCACTTTTCTCAATAGAGTAAGTTAGTTTATTTGAATTGTTTACTCTTCTTATACATGTGAACCATCTAGGATCGCATGTGGTGTACCTTGATAATGTTTGTGTTGTTCATAGAGGTAGATAGAGATTTTGAGTTTCTAAAGGTGTTTTGGGTTTATTTTTTAGCTAGTTGGTCATCTTTTATGTAAGGAAACATATTTACCTTGTTTTAAAGCTATAAATTCCTTGAGAATGTTAATTTGCATGTTTAGTTTGTACGAAATTGGTTTATTTGCTTATATTGGTGTTTAAGCGGCTGAAATCTCGATGTTTGTGTGTGTGTTTGTACTATTTGAGTTGGTGTTGAATTGAGAAACTTGGGATTTGATCATTTGAGCAATTTTTGTAGGGTGAAACCCATTGACTATAACTCTGCAGAGCAATAGAGACCACTACAAATGCATAACTTGCTAGAGTCTAATATTAATACATGTATTTAGATGATCGAGGCTAGTATAAATGATTGCATGTATTAGGAATTGTTGATGTTAATGTTTATATGTGTTAATACCTCTCTACATGTTGTGTGATTGTTCTTTTTGGTATATTAGCTTACCTTTTTCTTTTTTGTTCATTTGTTTATTCATTATTCCTATTTGCAATGATCACCTTAGTGGTGTCAGCAAATAAAGATATTTCTGTAGATCCAGTGCAGGACGAGAATTGTGCTGAAGTGTAAATTTAAGATGTTTAATTCTTATTTATACCAAATTTTGAAAAACTTTATTATGCTTTTTAATTAGTATAATAATACTTTTTAGAATTATATAACATTCATACATATATTTTTAGTGTTATAATTATATTTGAGATGTATTGGATATATGATTTTTCTTTTAATAGTTACACAATTATCGAGATCTCACAATAAAAATAGAAACTATAATCTCATCTAATAAATTCATATAACACTTTAATTTAATAAATTTTATTAATATTTGGTAAAATGAAATAGGAGATTTTGTTTATGATTAATTTAAATTTTTAGGTTTAATAAGTAATTCTTGTTGAGAAATCAGATTTCTAACCGGCTAAGCATATTAATGCTCAAATAAATTTTTCTTTAATTATTTATATGATAACGCACTCTCGGAACCTAAAAGCTATTATGTATGAAAGGAATTTGCACCAAAAAAAAAAAACTCTTAAAAGGTTAAAATCTTATTGTTCAAACAGTAAACTAAAAAAGTCAGTATGAAAGGAATTTACACAAAAAAAAAAAGAGTGAAAAAGGATCTTAAAATCAGATTAAAAAAATATAAGCTTGTGATCCTCATTTGGTTAGTATAAGGTGTTTTTTTACAATATAAGTATTAATGTTTGCTGGTATAACATATTGTGATTAATATGACAAACTGAAATTTGACATCTTTAATATTTTACAAGTTTGTATTTTAGTATGCGCACTTCAACTAATCTTAATTTCGTGAGTCTTCGGTATGATGCTTACAAAGTTATTCTACACTAAGAATACATCGTAAATAATAAATATTAAAATAATGGAATTATATGTCACACTTCGTGAGTAAATAATGTCTATTTACAGTATTTATTATTTATATGAACTTTGATCTTTTATACACTTAAAATTCATAGAAATATCTAATCTTAGGGTTTAGTTATCTTAATTATTTGTTAGTTACTCTAAATCGTGCTTACATCAGAAGTCCCTTATCTCATAACCTGTTTCTGTATGGATGTGGAAACCCAGATAGGAACCTAATAAACCTCAGCTGCTCCTTCCTGTGATGCCGCTACTATGATATCTCCCTTCATGCGCTATACTCTCTGATGGGAAAATGGGATGGGTACCTACAAAGGCACTCCGACGCTCAAGTCAAAAAGGGATCTACTGAATCTTTTCAGTTCAAAGTGATGAAGAAAAAGAATAATTTCTCTCTCTTAATTTCTCTAAGGGGAAAAACGTACCTTTTTTCTAGTGTGATCTTCATATTTAAAATAGTAAAATAAACCGTATACCTGAAAATCCGGTCAGTTATCGAAGTTGGTTACCTGGAATGTTGTAACTGTTGGATCGTGTTTGACACTGGGTCAATTATTCTCGTGATTCGTGGCATTGACTGATCTTTGTAACTGTTTACTCTTAACTGCTAAATTAGGAATTGCTCACTGATTGTCGAGCGCCTGGTGAATCGACACAGACTTGTGAGTGTTCTGTGTCGTGTGTTATATGTCGTGACACCGCTGTTGTGTCGTGTGTTATATGTCGAGACACCGCTGCTGGCTTATCGACTACCAGTGTGTCGACATCAACAAACGATTGACGTTAAGAAACGTTCGACACTCCTGCGATCGTGACATTACGATCGTAAGATGGATCGACAAGCTGTCGTCCGTGGTAATCGTCGACCGTTGGTGAATTCAGGTATCCTACGGTACATAACCCATAAATTCTAAATCTTAATTTGATATATCATGCATGCATGGAAATTTATATTTTATTTTAAACATAAAATAAAAATCTTTTAAACTAAAACAAATTATGGCATTTATAAGAGATGCGAACTTTTTCTATATATTTATTGTTTAAAAAGAAAAATCCTTTAAATAACATAAATATTACATGTGATATATAACTTTTCTTTTAATTAAAAGGTGTATGAAAGGAATTTACAGAGAGAAAACCGTTCTCCAAACCCGATCAAACCATTGAATAAAAAAGCCGGTGTGAAAGGAATCAAATCAAAATTTGTGTAAACCCAAAATATAATTACCCACTTGTCCACGCCACCCTCACAACGAGTCAACACCGTGCGAAACCGCCAGGACCGAATAATCTCCTCCGAGTCCTACTCCCTCACGCCTCCAAGCATCCAAACACGCCCTTACTTATATTCCTCCCACGCGCTTTTCCCTCTCCCTTTCGTTTCTTTTCTCCTTATCCCCCGAACCTCCCTCCGAACCACCATGGACTCTCAGCGCCGCACCGTCCGCACCCTAGTCTCCAAGCTCAGCTCCGTCTCCGAAGCCGCTCGCGTCGACGCCCTCTGCCAGCTTCGCCTCATGTCCAAGCAGGACCCGATAACCCGACCCGTAATCTCCGAAGCTGGCGCAATCCCTTATATAGCGGAAACCCTCTACTCTTCCTCTCACACTTCCCAAGAGAACGCAGCGGCCACGCTGCTCAACCTCTCCATCACTGAAAAGGAGCCTCTCATGTCGACGCGTGGCGTCCTCGACGCGATCGCACACGTGATCTCTCACCACGCCACCGCCTCATCACCCGCCGCCGTACAGTCCGCTGCCGCCACCATACATAGCCTCCTCTCATCCGTCGACGCCTACCGTCCCGTCGTCGGCTCGAAGCGAGAGATCGTGTACTCGCTCGTCGATATCCTCCGTTGCCACGTGTCCTCGCCTCCGCGCACCATCAAGGACGCGCTCAAGGCGCTCTTCGCCATCGCGCTCCACCCGCTCAACCGCGCCACCATGATCAACCTCGGCGTGGTTCCCGCGCTTTTTTCGCTCGTCGTTAAGGATGGTAGGGTCGGCATCGTGGAGGACGCGACGGCGGTGGTTGCGCAGGTTGCGGGATGTGAGGATGCCGCCGAGGCCTTCCGTAAAGCATCTGGCGGCCTCGGCGTGCTCGCCGACCTTCTTGACCTCGCCACTGCCGCCAGCATGCGCACCAAGGAGAATGCCGTCTCGGCTCTCCTCAATCTTGTGCGCTGTGGTGGGGAGAAGGTCGCCGCAGATGTGCGCGACGCGGTGGCGTTCGGAGCGCTGGACGGAATTAGGGACGTTAGGGATGGCGGTAGTGGCAAGGGGAGGACAAAGGCGGCGGAATTGTTGAAGGTCTTGCTCGGTGAGAGCAATGGCACTGTCGATGTGGCGTTGAGTAGTGATAACTGTTCTTCCTTTGGTTCCTCGAGGAATCATGATTCGGATTGAGTTTGGTGACCCTTGTGCTGATACGGTTTCATGATTCTTTTTGTTCTTTGTAGACCGGAAATGGGTTCTCTCTGTATTTACACATTCTTCGCGCATTCGTGAATTGGAACCAATGGATGAAGATAAGATGGTTCACTTTTGGATATGTTTAGGATGAAACTCAGATGCAGTTACTTATGTGATTTTTGGCTATGTTTCTTAGTCAGAATTGGAGTTTTACTTAGAAAATTTATGTTGACAAGTAACTAGAATCTAGACTGTGCAAATTACCAAAAGAAATCTTCAATTCTGATATTAGAACATAGCCCATAATAGCATTTAAAGATTTTTGTATCCAAGTCTGTTGGTGTATTTGTTGAGAGAAATATGAGTTGTGAGATATTCATTCAGTGGTTCTGATTAGCTGAATGCGTGAATGCAAGGATGTGGGATTGTCCTGATCAGAGAGAATCCCGGTCGAACTAGGGTTTAGACTGGCACATTTGGTGTACAAATTAGGTGATAAGTTTGTTTTTTATATCATATTCTATTCATTATTATGTTATGATATGAACAATATCATGATGTGTTGTACATTTTTACAGTGTTGAGTAATGGATAACAACTTTCGGGTTATTTAGTTCTGCTGAGGAGTACTTTTGTTTTTTCATTGGTTCTGATTGGATTTGAGTTTTAGCCTTTAATCTGTTAAACTAATGACTAGTGAAGGTTGCATATGATGTGTCTCAAAGTACATCAGCTAAGTACACTTGGTGGTAAATACAATGATTTTGGTTTTATCTCTGATAATTTAGATGCAACTGTTAGCAGTCATGTGCATGCTGTAAGGTGATTTCTTTTAGGTGGGTGGGTGTGATCAATTGGTTGTTGATGAAACAGTGTAGCTTTGTTTCTGGTGGTAATAGAAGCCAAAAATGGAGGTTGGTCTGTACAGCAGCACTAGTTGTTGTGATAGTCCTATTTATAGATTCATTCCTCATTTGCATCACATGTTCTATGTTTTTATTTCCACCCATAATGTATATTATGTTCGTCTTTACTGGAAAGGTTTGATGTTGTATGCTAAGTGCATTCTGTGATAGAAAAAGAAAACGGAGTTGGGCCCTAGAGAACATGTATCTACATTTGAAGGATTTAGTATTTGATTTTAGATTCTGTAAACTACTGAATATGCATCTCCATTCATGAAGTAGGTGGAGTCCTTTTTTGTTATGGATTAGATTAGTCTCATTGAAAATTAAAGCGTATGTCCGTTTGAATATGGGAAGACCATCTTAGTTGTGATCTTCTATGATTTAAGTAAGAAATTTTTCATTGTGTAGGAATATATAGTCAATATTTATGTTGGTTAGATTAAAAGTTCATTCAGCAAGTTCAATTCTTTTCACTGTGACTGTGCAATAGCATCATCACCAGTCTATTTTAACATGCAGCATGGTTCACAGCACATGTTTTTAGTTCACATCTGGTTTGGCATTTTAAAAATTTGTTGTTGCTGTTGCTGCATCTGAATGATGTTGCTAATGCTATCAGCAGAATTCTATATTGTTTAAAAGTATTTAGACTTATTGATGGAGAAAGATTAGCTATTACTGAATATAAAATGATTACTGATGGCTTCTATAACATGCTAACCTTGATTCTATGAATCTTCCTAGTTTAAATATTTTTGTTACACCAACCTGTTGAGTCACTTGAATGAGAATTGAGGATTAGATATCTGCGTGAGCCTTTTCTTTCTGTACAAGTATTACATTGCAAGATGTGTAAGTTTTCTTTTGAATGGCAGAGGTGAAGAAGGAATAATCATCTGAATTCAAAGTTACAACTTTCTACAACATTGTCTTACCTTTTTCATCTTTCCGATTTCTTTTGGTTTAACTCTGACTATAGGAGTAGTTCTATATAGTTGCATTTTTTTAAACTTTTGGTTTAACTCTGACTATAGGAGTAGTTCTATAATAGTTGCATTTTTTTAAACTTTAGTACACGCTCAAATTAATTTTCACCTACTGTTTTGTTTTAAGAAAAAATTATTATATTGCTTTAGTTTATGCTTAAATGACTTTTTCTGTTCCCAAGTAAATTTGAAAATTTTGCATATATAATTTTGCTCCTTTCGGTAGATATTCTGTAAGACTTAGAGACTAACCTTTCTGACGTGTCTTCCTTCCGAAAGTTGGAATCGCTTGAGCTGCTTGCCTTTCTTCTGTCTGAGCCGTTCGATTGACTTTACTCTAGATCTTTCGGTTGCCTTCTTGCTCCAGAGGGGAGGTATCTGCAAAAGATACTCCGACGCTCAAGTTATGCGTGAATTTGAAGAACCTTGGTTCTTAGTTGAGTATTTAGTGAAGAATTATCACTATTGAATGTTTGGGTGTTATGAAGTATGAGTTGAACGTAACTGGAACGTACCTGACTTTTAGCCTTGGCCCTGTATGTATAGGTTATCACAAGCCTAATAAAATATAAACAGACTTACCTTAAAATTCGAGCGGTTGCTCATAAACAGCTTTATGAATATCTTTAATCAGATATCTTTTATTATTTTAATTTATGCTGGACCTTTGGCCTCATAACAACTAAAGCGTTGGTTCAAATACCATTTGAAGCAGCTGATTAGCGATGTGGGCCCAATTACGACCCAATGACCTTGAAAACCATTTGACCAGGTTGACTGTAGTGGATGAACCAAACGATCCTGAGTGGATGGATCAAACGGTGCTGAATGTTAACCGTTCGGTCTCCACTAGGTACGACACATTATGCCCCCCAAAACCCTAGAGTAACTCATTTTATAAGGTTGAATGGCCAAGCAGGCGAGAGTGCTTTATTGAAGACGCTTGATTGAGAATGACTGTTCCTCAGCTCTTGGTGTTCGACCTAGGAGTTCCTGGAGAACTTCCTAGTGAAAGGGCTTTACCTCTCAGCTTTGTGACTTTGACCTAGGAGTTCTTCCTAAGGAACGGGCTTCACCATTCGGCTTTACACTAAGAGTTCTTGGAGAACTTTCTAATGGGAGGGCTTTACCTCTTTACCGAGAAGGATTTATCTCTCGATCTTCAACATCCTCGAGAGGGATTTACCTCTCTGCTGAGAAGGATTTATCTCTCGGTCTTCAACATCCTCGAGAGGGATTTACCTCTCGACCGAGAGGTATTTACTTCTCGACCGAGAGGTATTTACCTCTCGATCTTTGAGCTAGGAGTTCTTCCTAGTGAACGGGCTTTACCGTTCGGCTTTGTGACTTTAACCTAAGAGTTCTTCCTAGGGAACATGCTTTACCGTTCAGCTTTGCATTAGGAGTTCATGGAGAACTTCCTAGTGAGAGGGCTTTACCTCTCAGCGTTATGACTTTGACCTAGGAGTTCTTCTTAGGGAACGAGCTTTATCGTTCGACTTTGCACTAGGAGTTCCTGAAGAACTTCCTAGTGAGAGGGCTTTACCTCTTGGCGTTGTGATTTGCAAGATCCTATCACCTGCACTGAAGAAATATAACAACTCATATTTTACATGGTGAGAAAAATAGTAGCATAACAAACCAATGCATTAATGTCAAAATAGGTTGTTATAAGACTGGTCGACCAAGCAAATAAGACCGTTCAGTCTTTTGTTGAATGTTTGATGGTCAACGACGACGAATTCGTATTAAGATGTCTTGAATGAGCTGTGTGTGCTTTATGCTTTTTGACCGAACGAGAGAGAGAGAAAGACCAAGGTCTGCTCGAGCTATACCTTGAGGCCATGGAAGGCCGAATGGTCGAATTCCTGATGGTCGAATGGCCGAATACATGTGAAGTCGAATGGCCGAGGACCTGTAAGGTCGAATGGCCGAGTATGTGCGAGGCCGAATGGCTAAATACCTGAGGCCGAATGGCCGATTACCTGTATGGCTGAATGACCAAGTACGTGCGAGGCTGAATGACCGAGTACGTGCAAGGCCGAATGACCGAGTACGTGCAAGGCCGAATGACCAAATACCTGAGGCCGAATGGCCGATTACCTGTATGGCCGAATGGCCGAATGTCTATGAGGTCGAATGGTTGTAAATTTGTAAGAGCTTTTTGACGTTGATGGTTTCTTCTATCAGGATCAATATGTGGGGGTGTGGTTGACAAGATGATGCTGAGAGTGCATCCTTGTCTGGTTCCTTGTGGTTACAGGGAATGCCTCCTGAGTCCCACGGTGGGCGCCAAAATGTTTCAGTAGATATTTTGTAGGACCGAAAGACTAAACTTTCTGACGTGTCTTCCTTCCTTTCGAAAGCTGGGATCGCCTAAGCTGCTTGCCTTTCTTATGTCTGAGTCGTTCGGTTGACTTTAGTCTAGATTGTTCGGTTGCCTTGTTGCTCTAGGAGGGGAGGTACCTGCAAAAGATACTTTGACGCTCAAGTTAGGCGTGAATTTGAGGAACCTTGATTCTTAGTTGAGTATTTAGTGAAGGATTATCACTCTTGAATGTTTGGGTGTTATGAAGTGTGAGTTGAACGTAAGTGGAACGTATCTGACTTTTAGCCTTAGCCCTGTATTTATAGGTTATTATAAGCCTAATAAAATATAAACAGACTTTCCTTAAAATTTGTGCGGTTGCTCATAAACAGCTTTATGAATATCTTTAATCAGATATCTTTGATTATTTTAATTTATGTTGGGCCTTTGGCTCAATAACAACTAAAGCGTTGGTCCAAATACCATTTGAAGCAGCTGATTAGCGTTGTGGGCCCAATCACGACCCAATGTCCTTGAAAATCATTTGATTAGGTTGACTGTAGCAGCAGATGAACCAAACGGTCATGAATGTATGGACCAAACGGTGCTAAATGTTAACTATTCGATCTTCACTAGCTACGATACACTCCTGTTTTTGATCATTGATAAAATTTTATTTCAATTATTGATAAAATTTTTATTTTTGTTTTGATCATCAATCATTTTTTTTAATTTATGATTTGCTTAAATTTATGATTTGCTTAAATTTATGATTATATTTTTATTATTAATAAAAGCTTATTTTTTTTATTTTGATCTTTAGGATTTATAGACATTTTAAAAGTGACGAGATGATTTATTTATTGTGACATGTGAACAATTAAGAACTCAATATATTTTTAATATATTGTCTTTATTAAATTTTTTTGTGTTTTTCATTTGGTTCACATTTTTGCTAGTCTTCAATATGTTTTTCTTTTAGTCTTTTTTGTTTATTAGTTTTTTAAAAAGAGTTAAATATGTTTTTAGTTTTTAAATTTTAAAATGAAATTCATTTTTTTATTTTTATGGGATGGTAGATTTATGAGTTTTTCTTCTGAAAAAAGTCTTATAACTTTTAGTTAATTTTTATTTGTTGTAGGACTAATTTTGATATTTTTTAAAATAAAAAGAAACATGTTAACAATTGAATAAAATGTAATTTCTTTTAGAAAATTGTTAATTAATATATTTTTTACTTTTGTTTTTAAATTTAAAAAATAATAGATATAATTTTTTAACATAATTATTTTAAATCTTTTAACGTGTCAAACATGTTTAATACTAGTTTTTAAATTGTTGATTTCATTTGATATTTTTGTTCCAATGTGAATTAAAAGGATTATATTTATTTATTTTTAAAATTTC